TATCCCCAAAATGCCAAGTACGAAGCCAAGGAGAAACTAAGGTGGCTCAAGCAAACGGGGAGTGTCAAAGACTATGTCAACACCTTCGTGAGTTTGTTATTCGAGGTGCCCAACATGTTAAAGGAAGACAAGCTCATGTACTTCATGAGTGGACTGCAAAATTGGGCAAAACTCGAACTACAAAGGAGACATGTGCAAACATTGTCTGATGCCATTGCCGCCGCCGAATCCTTGATTGAGTTTAAATCAAGCCACCAAGGTGATTCCAAGTCCACGGGGAAGAAGGGTAACCATGAGAAAAGTGGGGGAGAACATAAGCCGAAGGATAAGGCTGAGACAAGCAAACCGAAGGAGAAGAAAGCCGATAAGCATGACAAAAGCAAGGGTAAGTCTTGGCAACCCACTTGTTACTTATGCGACGGCCCTCACATGATGCGAGATTGCCCACAAAAGAAGGCCCTTAAGGCCATGGCTTTCAAGGAGGACAAGGCCAAGGAGAGTAACGATGCAAGGATGGGATGCATCCATCTACTGAATGCCATCCAAACGACCCTCCCACAACCTAAGGCTCAAGTTGAGGGAGGATCATTGTTCGTCGACGTCAAGACTGGTGACAAGACAACGCGTGTGTTGGTGGACACGGGAGCAACCCATAACTTCATGACGTCGGAGGAAGCCACAAGGCTTGGCCTCCGAGTCACAAAGGAGCCCGGTAGCGTGAAGACGGTAAATTCCGCTGCCACCTCCATTGTCGGAATTGCGCGCAATGTACAAGTAGACATTGGCGCATGGAAGGGAAAAATCGACTTCACCATAGTCAAGATGGACGACTATGGTGTAGTCATTGGGTTAGAGTTCATGGACAAGGTACGAGCCTTTCCCATTCCCTTCTACAATATTTTCTGTATCTTAGACGACGGAAGACAACCTTGCCTGGTGCCATTGGAGAGGCAAGCCAAGAAGTGTACCCAGCACTTGTCGGCAATTCAATTTGCCAAGTCTTGGAAGAAAGGCGAGGCCACATTTCTTGCAACCCTAATGTTGAATGAAGGGGAGGAGAAGTACGGGCCTTTGCCGAAACAAGTGGAAGCCGTCCTTATGGAGTTTGCGGACGTGATGCCTAAGGAACTGCCAAAGAAGTTGCCACCAAGGAGAGAGGTTGACCATGCGATTGAGTTGGAGCCTGGTGCTAAGCCTCCCTCCAAATCACCTTATAGGATGTCGCCACCCGAGTTGGAGGAATTGAGGAAGCAACTCAACGAGCTACTTGATGCTGGCTACATCCAACCCTCCAAGTCCCCATATAGTGCACCCGTCTTGTTCCAATGCAAGAAAGAAGGTAGCCTAAGGTTGTGCATCGACTATAAAGCATTGAACAAGATTACCATCAAGAACAAGTACCCACTTCCGTTGATCGCCGACTTATTCGATCAACTTGGTAAAGCAAGGTACTTCACAAAGTTAGATCTTCGATCGGGATACTACCAAGTGAGGATAGCCCCTGGAGATGAATCGAAGACGGTGATGGTGACCAGATATGGATCGTTCGAGTAGAAAGTCATGCCATTTGGTCTGACCAATGCCCCTGCAACATTCTGCACATTGATGAACAAGGTATTCCATCCTTATCTTGACAAGTTTGTCGTGGTTTACATTGATGATATCGTTATCTATAGCAAGACATTGGAGGAGCACGTCAAGCACTTGCGCATAGTGTTCAAGACCCTTCGGGAGCATGAACTCTATGTCAAGAAGGAGAAATGCTCCTTTGCCACAAAAGAAGTAGAATTTCTTGGCCACAAGATAAAGGAGGGGAAACTTATGATGGAAAAGGGCAAGATCAAGGCCATTCAAGAGTGGGAACCGCCGACCAAGGTACCAACACTACGATCATTTCTGGGGCTAGCCAACTACTATCGAAGATTCATTAAAGGGTATTCAGCCATAGCGGCACTCTTAACAGACCTTTTTAAGAAGAACAAGGCATGGGAATGGACGGACCGGTGTCAAGAGGCCTTTGAGAGGTTGAAGAAGGCCCTAATGGAGGAGCCTGTACTAAGGTTGCCCGACCTTAGTAAGCCATTCGAGTTGCACACTGATGCTTCCGACTTTGCCATAGGAGGAGTGTTGATGCAAGAGGGACATCCGATAGCCTATGAAAGTCGCAAGCTAAACAATGCCGAGAAGAGGTACACGACCCATGAAAAGGAGATGACCGCCATCGTCCATTGCCTTAGAGTTTGGAGGCATTACTTGCTTGGTACTCCATTCATCATCAAGACGGACAACGTTGCCACTAGCTACTTTCAAACCCAACAAAAGCTCACACCTAAGCAAGCAAGGTGGCAAGAGTTCTTAGCGGAGTTTGATTACAAGCTAGAGTACAAGCAAGGAAAGGAGAACGTGGTGGCCGATGCTCTAAGTAGACGAGTAGAGTTAATGGCTACGGTACTCAAGCCACAAAGCCATCTCTTGGGCCGGGTCCGAGAAGGTTTATCACATGACGTCTAAGCCAAGAACATTGTGGAGTTTGTCAAGGATGGGAAGACAAGAAGGTTTTGGCTTGAGGACGGCTTGCTATACACCAAGGGCAAGTGGATCTACTTCCCAAAGTGGGGAAACTTAAGGAAAGAAATCCTAAAAAAGGAGTGCCATGACTCAATGTGGGCAGGATATCCTGGCACTCACCGCACGTTGGCTTTGGTGAGCGATGCTTATTATTGGCCACAAATGCGGGATAATGTAGATTCATATGTGAAGACTTGTCTTGTGTGCCAACAAGACAAAGTGGAACAAAGGCAACCGGGAGCACTGTTGGAACCACTTCCCACCCCATCAAGACCATGGGAGTGTTTAACCATGGATTTCATCACACATTTGCCCAAGTCTGATGGATGTGGATCTATCTTCGTCGTGGTCGATAGATTCACCAAGTATGCCACTTTCATACCCGCACCTGTGGAGTGCACAGCCGAAGTAGCTGCACGCTTGTTTCTAAAGCACGTTGTGAAGTATTGGGGTGTTCCGAGGAGCATAGTCAGTGATCGAGATGCTCGCTTCACGGGTAAATTTTGGAAGGAACTCTTCAAGCTACTTGGCTCAAAATTAGACTTTTCCACCGCTTTTCATCCCCAAACTGATGGACAAACGGAGCGGGTTAATGCATTGTTAGAGACTTATTTGCGGCACTATGTTAGTGCCAATCAACGAGATTGGGCTAAGTTACTTGATGTTGCCCAATTCTCTTATAACTTGCAACGTTCGGAGTCGACGGGGAAAAGTCTGTTCGAGTTGGCTATAGGGCAACAACCCTTGACCCCGAACACGGTCGTGACTGGCTACATGGGGAATAGTCCAGCCACTTTCAAAACCACTAAGGAGTGGCAATTAGCCCACGAACTTGCTCGAGCTCATTTGGAGAAGGCTTCAAAGAAGATGAAGAAATGGGCGGATCGTAAGCGAAGGAATGTGGAGTTCCAAACCGGCGACCAAGTCTTTGTGAAGCTTAATGCGTCTCAGCACAAGAGTACTCGTGGCTTGCATAAGAGCTTGTTGCGGAAATATGAGGGACCATTCCCTATCATCAAGAAGGTTGGCAAAGCCGCTTATGTCGTGGAACTCCCACCCCGTCTCAAGTTTCACCCGGTGTTCCATGTGAGCAACTTGAAGCTTGATCATGCAGACAATAAGGAACCAAGCCGAGGTGAGTCTCATCGAGCACCCCCTTTGATGACAGAGGCATTTGACAAAGAAGTGGAGAGCATCGAAGCCAAGCGTGTCGTGGTACGACCAAGACAACCAAAGCATGTGGAGTACTTTGTCAAATGGAAGGGGCTACCATACTCCGAAGCAACATGGGAGAAGGAGACGTCCTTATGGCAATATAAGGACCTGATTAATACATTCGAGAGGCAAGAGTCAACGAGGACGTCGACGGCTTAAGTGGGGGAGGATGTCACGGGCCATATGTTAGAAACAAAGAAAACGCCCAAGACATCATATATCTAAGCCCATAAAGCCTTGTCTTCATGGAAGCTTCTGGAACATCCCGGAAAAATCAAGAACATGGCGGAGCGTTCAAGATAATCTAGGGCATTCCGGAACAATCCACACAAGTGTACAAATTCAAGCCTCACCTAGAACAATTTAGATTAGGCAAGTTGTATCTAGAACTATACTAGATATTTTTGGATGTAAGTAGGGAATTCTAGAACCCTCCATTGAGGAGGTTACTTAGGCCTATAAATAGGAGGCAAGGCCATTTGGCCAAGGCATCCAAGAATTGTAAGCAATTGTAAAGTTCTCCTAAGTTTCAATACAAAGCTTCCTTTCTCCCATCTTCTAAGTGATTTTAGCATTCTCCAAGCTATCTTAGCTTTCTTTGTGATTCAATCCGGGGAAGCGAGGCTTCGAAGGCTTACTTAGCTTGTTCATCGAGGTATTCAAGTCTAAGTGCCGCACGGGCGGAAGGCTTAAAGAGTCATCTCGTGACACTTGGAATAGAAGAATTTCTTCCCTACCTTATTACTATAAATCAAGGCAGTGCGTAGGAGAAATAACAGATTCTCTACAAAACCCGACAAACACATCTCTCTCTCAATATTTTCTCTATGTCGCCGGCCCCCTCTCACTGCGAGTTAAATATAGGCCAAAACAATAACAATATTATTAAAGAAAATAACAATATTATTCCCATTTTAAATTTAAAAAATAATTAATCCATAAACTACGAATGCCTTCTTGCCGTTAATGTCCACGTCAGCACAGAGAAATCTATTCACAGGAAGAGAGCTCGCAGACGCCGCGGAGTCTATTTACTCTGCAATTCATTCATCTCGGCTTTCTTCTTTCCGGACACGGCCACTATCTGGTTCCTGACACGGCGTCGTATCCGGTCGAAATCCCAGCTCCAACTGCCACTGTTGGCGGTTAAAGTCCCCCGAATCAGGCGGGATACGCTCTTCGCGATCCCACTTATCCACATCTGTCTTTCCTCTGGCCACAACTGTAATTTCAAAACAGTCGAATTTTCAGAAAAGTCTCCGCCACCGTCACGGCCACCGTCTCAGCCGTTGTTTCCAGCGTCTCGGATGGAGAAATCGAATATTTTCAGAGGCAGTTACCTCAAAGGAGCTTACCATCCTTCCTTCTCCTCTTCTTCTTCTCGCGCCGATGTCAATTACAGGTCCCATCTCTCTCTCTAAGATCAGTCTTTTTGTTTTTTATCAATTGGAATTTTTATATTTATTTGATAGATCGAAATAAAAATTGAATCTTTGATATCTGGGTGGATTTAATATATTTTAATTAATTAATGGAGAAGGAGTGAAAAATTGAAAGAATTGGCAGGATTTGTTTTGTGTTTAAGGAAATTCTTTGGATTAAACAAATAAGGAAATATTTTTTGAGATCTGTGAAAAGGGTCCTCAACAAAACTGCCAAAAATGGTGTTAAATTTCAGTTCTTTGATCATTCTTGCAGTTTTTGATATTTCAATTTCAGTTCCTTGAGATTGCAATTGTTTAGTTTTGTATCTTGTAGGAAACAGTGGAGTGCACTTTTGCTCACTCACGACGGATAACCACTTGATCGATTGTTATTAGATGAGCGTGATTTAATCTATGCATTACATAAATCTCAAAATTTAAACTCATCTGAATGATAATCAATATAATGGTGATGCGTAAGTGGTGAGCAAGAATATTTTCGCACTTCTCTTCAAGCCTCGACACTCCAAACTGAATATGCTATAATTTTATCTACATTTGCGGGAGGAGTGTAGGAAATTAACATAGCAGTGTTAAATTACTGACCGACGTTTATCATTTAGTAACACTAGTTGAAGTATTGTCACAGTGGATTAGGATAGTTTTAATTGTGAAAGGAGCATAAATATTCAAATCTCTCCTACTCTCCAAACTCTGAGTCATTTCAATTTACTTGTCCTTAAATTCTTAATGTAAGGCCAATTTACAGAACATTTAACATGAACATTGGTTTTTCATGCAGCTGTGGTTCTTGTGGGTATGAGCTAAACCTAAGTTCCAGCAACCGGAACACTTCTACGATTGGCTCTAATAAGTATGGAAAATCTATAAAGCGAGGGATCATATCATTCTTTAACATCGATGAGAGCAGATTTACTCAGGTTGATGAACTTAAATGTAAACCCCATTTCTCTAAGCGTTCTTGGGGTTTGTTCAGCCGAAGAACTAAACTTCTTTGTCGCAAGTGTGGTAACCATATAGGAAATGCTTATGATGAGTACACTTCATCGTCTTACCCGCTTGTGTTAGATGAATCAGATTCATCCGCAGGTCAGGAAGTTACCAAATGCAGAAAATTTGATGTTAGAATTCGCGCTTTGCAACCTTCAAATTCTGAAGAATTTGGCCCTTCAATTTTGGAATGAAATTACTGAGCAAGCATTCTCGCATGAGGTTATACTCTGTACAGATTGTATCTTTGTTGTGTTTTACCCCTTTTATTAGAATGTTACTTGTGGTGTGGAATTTTTGAAGTGCTTTGAATGATTGAGGAAAGTTTGTTACAAGTTTAGAACATAGCATTGCTAGTTTCTTCAATTTGTTGGAGTTATATGTATAATGTACTGCTCATGACTCTTTTCCGTCACTTTTTGGGTGAGTTTTTGTGGGGGTGCCTTATCAGGCAGCTCTCTCACGGTAGGGTGAGACATGAGAGAATTGCCTAGGGCAAACTTACTCGAGAATTCTCCTATCTGGCGTTTCCTGTATTCATAGAAAACAAACTAAACAATAATAATACATTATACAAATCTACATAGAACAAAATGGCATCCAAAGATTTTAGTTATTTGATATCGGAAGATTCGGGACATGGGTGTTAAGAATCAAGATACCCATTATCTTACCTTCGAAAATGCATTTCTACAAAAGAGAGGCAAGAATTCACAAATCAATAATATTTAGTACAGTCACTCAGTACTATTATCTGGTGGTATTCTTCTTTACTTGTAAGTGAAAAGTTTTAAATTCAAATCATTCGATACCAAATTCGGTTGTTCATTGTGTAGTTAGCTAAACTCTTCCTTCCCTTAGTATAAAATATATCATTGTACTAAAAATAAAAAATAAATAACAATTTAGTGTGAATAAACTTTTTCTTTTATACTTTTAATAAGTTATTTATGCGAGTATGTAATTTGTAAGGAGGAATGTCTCCTCAATTTGAAGGGGCTAAACAATATTCTTCTACAAATGCAATATTTGAGTATTGGCTTTCTGATGTGGTCCAATAAAAAGATGTGGCTTTCTGATGTGGTCCAATAAAAAGATGTGACATATAACATATTCTTTATTTATTAAAGCCCATAAAAAATTTAAATTTATCATGTCTATTATTTTATAAATTAATTAAACATGTGTTAATAAATTATTAAGCTAGATCGTAAAGTCAATATAACAACTAGGCCTAGTAAACGGGTCATGTCTGTCGTGTTTGTGTCGTTTTCGTATAACAGCTGTTATCTTAACAGGCAGTGTCGTGTCATACTCATTATCTTAACAGGTCCTTAACAAGACCCATTAAGAAATTTTTTTTTTTTTTCTTAAACTAAGGTTCGTAAAATTTTGCTCTACAGCATCCATAGTTTCAAGAAAGAAAAACAAAACTGTAAAATCTTCCTCATACCAATTTCATACCATATCCATTTCAATTTCACATATCCAATTCAATTTCACCTATCTATATCCATTTCAAATTCAGATATCCAATTAAATTTCAAAATCCAATTCACATATCCACAAATTACAATCCAATTCAAATTTACTTTCAATTTCACAATTCAATTAAAAACACCTTGCACTTGCATGTTGCAGCCTTGCTTAATTGCTTTGCTTGTTTCAAATCTCCAAATCTGGAAAACAAATATAGATCCCACTTATTAACTTCAAGTAAATAGACCCCAAATGAAACATAGATACAAATGAACTTGCGGTGTTCACAATAAAAAAAAAAGGACCTGCCTGCCAATTGCCAATACTAGGGACAAATAATTCCATACAAATAATTAAGACATTGCTTCTACTATAGCAAAACAAAAATAGGTGCAGCTCACTACTTTGTCGTTGCCTGCCTCACAGGTCACCTGAATTCTAACCTCCTGAGTCCCTTGATAACATATTCCCAATATATATATATGTATGACATTAAGTAATAAATCTCACTTTACGGCTTACAATACGACTAAATGGCATGACATAATAAAGTTAATTTACATAACTACATCTATATTCCCAAATTCCAATGCTTGATTCTATTTCTGCCTCGTCCTTTTGTGATTTTCAAGCTTGCAAAGCCAACATGAAGCACGCTTGCTCAATCGCTTGGTTTTTTGAATGTTTGCAAACATGCCCCAACTTAGAAACTCCAGAATCTCCAAAATCAGAAAACCCCAGAAACCCCAAACCCAAAAAAACCCCTGCCATTAGTTTTAATTTTAACGAAAACCCCAAATCACTAGTTTTTGAAAAAAAACACAAAATACCCAAAAATACAAAATTCATACCTTTAGCGTGTGTTTGCCTATATGTGGTTTTCTTGTGGCTACCGAAGTCGAGTTGAAGAAAGTGGACGGAGGAGGATGCGAGAGAGATGCGGATTAAGGAGACGGCGCGAGAGTAAGTTTGGACTAAAGAGATCAGAGTGAAGAGAGAGAAGAGAAGGATAGCCTCCAACCTAATGCACAATGCACGGTTGAGATTAAATCTCAGCCGATCCAATGGTCACCAATTTTTTAAATTAAATTTAATATATATATATATATATATATATATAATTATTATAGTTTTTAGGGGTATAAAATTCTTAAATTAATATATATATATATATAACTATTATGGGTTATAAAATTATTGAATTAATATTTTGTTTTTCGTGCATCGTGTTACCCACGTGTATACCCGAACTAACCTGTTATCTTAACATGTGCTTATAGAGTTACCCGATAATGACCCAATTTTTTATCGTGTCGACCCGAACACCTGTTAATTTCGTGTCGTATCGTGTTGGGTTATCGGATCGTATCAGGAATTGCCAGACCTAATAACGACAGTGACAAGTACTATCCATTAAGTAAAATTCTCCTTGCACTATAAAACAAACAGTAGTGCCCTCTTGAATTTACTTGTCATATGCAAAAATGTTTCTGGTATTATTTTGCTCTTGCATGCTTTTGTCACTCATATATATATATCACCAATTTTACTGCCTTGGCCTTGGAAGGCTGAGTTTCCAGCAATCATTAACTTTGGAGACTCTAATTCATGGTGAACTGGCACCCCCTCCTTACGGCGAGACCTTTTTCCGTAGAGCGGCTAGATGATTCTCCGATGGCCGCCTCGTAATGGATTTCCTGGGTATGTATTCCACCATCTTTTTGTTTTCTCATAACTTGTTTATTCTTTGGATGACAATTTAAACATAAATGGTAGTTAGAGAAAGCACTTTTTCGGTTATTCCAAGGCTCTATCTATAGGACATGTCCACTTAAGTAGCATACATCATATACTTTGCTTGTTCTCAATTATAAATCATTGTTTTTTTTTTTTTTCCTTTTTAAAGTAACCGAAAGATTGTTTTCTTCTTCTTTTCTTTTTTATTTTTTATTTTTTATTTTTTTTTAAATTAAAAAAATAGGTTCTCATCCTTTATTTTCCTACTTCATTGATTAAAAGTTTATTCTTTTTCAAATTTTTATCAAGATCCTTAGATTTTAATAAACATCATTAATTATTTCAATAATAAAATATTTATTATTTCTAAATATATTTATTTAGTGTTAGAAACATTACATTTGTTATATTTATATTTATGGCTAAATTTTTTTATCATATATTTTTATTTTTAGTCTATACCCATTTTTAATTTGCAACCCTGTATAAATTCCTTTTTTGTGCCCATATTTTTTTAACTTTTATTTGTATTTGTACCCATTTTTAATTTTGCTAAATATATCCATGCTAATTATATGTATTTATTTTATGTTTTTAAAGTGCATCAATAGTTATTTTTTAAAATATGTTAACAATTATGTGTGACACACCCCGACCCAAATGTCCACCTGGACTCTGAATCGAGTTGTACTGACCAACACCAGGAAAGTGATGAAGCCATAAACTGTAGTGATGGGAAATATGAGCAAATTTAAACCTAAAAGTGTCTAAATGTAAGAGTGCACTTGTGAGCGGGAATGAACCCATTTCACACGTGATGTCAAAGCATAAGTAAAGTATAGTAAAATTAGATTAAGAACTATACCATCAGGAGTAGTCTCTGTTTATCGGTGATTGCCAGAAATCCTCGTCAACACGAACACTGTGACTAAATCTTGGAGGGGCGAAAAACAAAGGTGAGTGGGCCTAAAAGTAAAGCTTTGTAAAAACCCTTTCGAAAACATAATAACCCCTCGCCACAAAACAAGTATAGTTTCCAAAATATACATACTACTATAGTATGAAAATACTTACCGTAGCCTGCGAACACACAAGCTCATGTAGACATATTTTGTATATACAAACATATCATATCGAGTGCTCATCCACATATGCGAACACACAAGCTTATGCAGAGATATTTTGACATGAACAGAATTGGGTGTAATAATGATTTACGCTCTAGTATTACAATAATGTGAAGACTGGTGCTATGTGCAACACATGAGTCCTAATTGCCTATAGCAATCTAGGTCATGACTAGCACCTACAATGGATCCAAAGTGAGCGTACGATGCGAAATGACCATACACGTGAAGCCTGGCCTTGGCCCGGGCGAGTATCAATACCAGTGTAGCACACGATAAACAAATAACATACATACGATCATGCAATAGTAAATCGATAATTCACGTCGACAAAATACTATTCAATAAATATTAATCATGGCCATAATTCAAATCCCATAAAGGCACGCATACCTATGCATCCTGTAGGATTTAGGATAATTTTGTAAATTCCGTCATTTTACTAATTCTTATAAACATTAGTCCAATCTAGGCATAAGTAGAAAATTCTTTTTCAAATATTTAAATGGAAGCTAAATACGGTTGGCCGATGTTAAACCTTGAGGATGTAGACTTTCCCCTCGGCAACATATCTTCTAATGATGTTAAAGAGTCCATCAAAATGTTTGTTCTTTTGATGAGTCCTGGGTTCCTTGGCTTAAGTTATCGCCCCATTATTATCACAATACAAAGTTATTGGTGATGTAATGGTTGGAACCACTCCAAGTTCACTAATGAACTTCTTCATCCAGAACGGTTCTTTGCCGGTTTCAACTGTAGCGACATATTCAGCCTCCGTCGTGAAATCAGCATTTACATCTTGTTTCTTGCTTTTCCAGCTGACAGCCCCACCATTCAGAGTAAACACATATCCGGAGTTAGAATTTCTATCATTGACATCTGATTGGAAATCTGTGTCTGTACAAGCTTCCACTCGCAACTCTATCACTCATTTATAAACAAGGAACATGTCCTTAATTCTTCTTAAGTACTTAAGGATCGTCTTGACAGCTGCCCAATGTTCTGATCCTGGGTTAGATTGATATCAACTAGTAATGCTCACAACATATGTGATATCAAGCCTTGTGCATAT